GGCTTTCTTAGTCGATCTTCTGTTTGGCATCGACGAAATTTACGATAGGGCGCTCATACGCGCACGCGCGCACACACGCACACACACACTCACTCCAGCTAGTATTTCAGTTATAACTCCACGATTTAAGAACAACATATGCGAGCACACCTGCATGGGCTTTCATTGAAACCTCCTATGTCCGTTGCAGCACTTCCACGGTATGGGATATGCATCTGTTAATGTGAGAGGATGGAAAAATCTCGACTGACCCTCTCGCGCGAGCAACCCTTCGTGTTAGTTAAGAAAAATAATAGCAGTATACACTCTAATGCTCTTGCTTAGCCTCTTGCACTGGGAGGAATGCGAAATGGGCAATTGAACACGCACTTGAGTAGAATCCAAATAGAACGCGAAGAGCGTTCGAACCGAGAGGCACACAGAGCCAGCTCTCCTGAGAGATCCCCTTCAGCTCCCTGTAAGTCCTGCCTCAGTGGTTACCTTCCTCAAATAAAAGGACGAATGCGCAGGGAGAGGGAGGGGGAGAGAGGGAGCGAGGGTAAATCCAACTCCTCCCCCCCCTCCTCCGGAGACATTAACCAAGAGCGATCATACGGTCCTCCCTCTCCTCCAATTCAAAACACTCTCTTGGCCCAGTCCGTCAAATGAATTCAATGTGGGGACTACGGCCCGTGTTCGCACGAACTCCATCACTCCATCTCTTTCCCTCTCCGTTTCCTTCGGTCTCACTTTCAACTATAGCCCATACGCTCCATATACGTGTGATTCTATGGAATATTGCTATGAAACGCTGAGATCTATGACTCAATTTGGAACACAGTAACAAAAAATTGAAGTTCCTTAATGTGAATCAATTGCGCTGAGTACTTAGGAGCTTTTCTTAGCGTCTCATCCGGTGCCCCTTACCAGTCATGCCACTCCAACCTGAGACGGACGTCATTGGTCGAGATCCGCAGGGTAAGATATTACCTATCGTGTTCCTTGTGGGCTTGTGAAAGCAGTCACTTAGCCCTCGCACAGGGCTGCTACATTGTTCAACATATCATATAAGGATGATGACAAGCCTTAATTGTTAAAGTCGTCAAGATGCACATTTCACTTGTCTCACGGTTAGTGCAAAGGAATTTGAATAAGGAGGTGCGGGAAAAATCTGGTATTTCCGTATCTTTTAGATCAGTGATGCACAACCCGGGCCAAATGCAGCCCGCAGAGACCCTTTTTTCGGCCCCTTGGATGCCTCCGGTATCTAAAGATCCATATTATATGCGGCCTATTTATGCTCATGTTCGAGGGTCTGCGGCCCTCCATCCCCTCAAACATGAGCCGAAATCTAAATGTTGGCCCTCTACGGGGAAATTGTTGTGCACCACTGTTTTATGTAATGACTGGACATCATTTTGGGGTGTACGTCGGTAGGTCGAATGAGAAAATGCAGAAAGGTATTAATGTCGAAGGGCAAGAATGAAAATGTCATAAAATGTCGCTCATGCTTAATGTCGAATGGAATGGGGCCAGAATTCTAAAACACCGACGAGGAGGAAATGTCGAATCATGTCGAATGTCGAAAATGATTTTCTAAAGATAGATCATCCTATGGGAATGTGCAAACAAGACTTGGTTGAACGATATGCTATACGAAGGGGGCGATGAAGGGACTGGTGGAGCGATTCGAACTTCACTGTCTGTGCATATAACTGGAAAGTCAGGTCACATTCACCTTCTGCTTTGTCTGCTTCATGTCCCTCATGAAGCCTTGTCTAGCAGCTTCGTGATGTTCTTGCAGATAATTTATCCATTTAAATGCGATCGTGGGTCCCACAATGAAGCCATTCCATGGGCAAGTGCCGTGTGTCACGTGTGCATCCTTCCCGTGTAAATCATCTGGCTTCAGTTTTTCGTTCCCCGACCTTTGTCCGCAATGAACTCGAATCTGACATTTGTCGAGTCTCATGAAGCCAAGAAAATGCTCCGCCTAACAAGTGCATTAAAAGTCCCTAATGGCATTTACTCCATCCGCCTTTTTTCCTCTCGACATTGTTGTATTTCTACATTCTCTCCATCAATATTTTGGCCTCCAACTAGTTCCTTGTCGACATTTTGCAAAAGCACCAAAATGGTCGGTGCTTTTGCTAGGGATATTAGTACGACTGAGAAAGATCCAATATGTGAGATATCAGAGCCCAGCGGTAAGCTATCAACTTTAAACTTACTAGTATTTAATTTAAGCTATCAAATTTACACACGGGGCCCAAAAATATATATCCTTCTCTTTTTCTCACTCCTCCCATACCGGTAAATTTCGTTCTCATTCTCCCACTGGGAGAATGAGAACTAACCACAGATATTAATAGCCAAGTAATTCAATAACTTTGTACAATAGAAACTTGATTAAATCTGCGAATGCAACGAATGGTCATAGAACATGCGAACAGATCCGACCCCTGACCGTACAGATTACGGAAGAAGTCCGTGTTCGAGTCTTGGAGCGCGTCCGTTCGACTCAAAGTGGAATCTTTGGAGTCAAGCTGCAATACCTACGTTTACGGCCTTTCGCATTTCGGTGGGGGGGGGGGGGGGGGGGGGCTCTTAATTTATTTTGCTTCTTCTTTTCCCCTCTCTGTGGAAGATAGGCATCAACATTAATGCGAGAAAAAGTCGTGGAGTAGAGGGCACGTTTTTTGATGGAATGTCAGACACATTTAGGTAATCAATAGGCAAAAAACACTCGAAACACTAACACTGGCCACCTATAAATGCTCCAAAAGTGCGCCGTGCAGATCATCGTCCTTCTGGATGCGTTTCGTGAGCTTTTTCTGGACTTTGTATTTCTACATAGCAGAGGATTGTATATACAGAAGGTTGACAAATGTTTCCGAAAACATTTTTGAAGTCCAGTTTTCCTGTTCCTGTGATTATATGCACACAAAATTTCATGTAAATGATGATTGACAGTTTGTTTACCAGTCGCCTAAATTTCATCACATGTTACTTTGATTTACAAGCCTTTGCAAACTGCCCGTTTTGTCCACCAATCTTCCTTGTGCAAGCACTATGAGAAAACAAAGAATTGACTGCAGCTCAACAGACTGCCATATTTTATTGCCGTAAGCGCGGTGACAAATATCGTGAAATTGCAAAGACTATCGGTTGTGGTGTAAGTACGGTTTATGAAATTCCCAGGCGACTGGCTGAAACCGGAACAACGGAATCCAAATCACTTTCCGGAAGGTCACCCCTACTGGGCACCAAGGAAAGCCGTCAGCTCAAACGATTGGTCACGAGCAACAAGAATCGGCGGCTGTGTAGGGCTGGGGTTGAGAAACTTCGGTAAGAAAAAACAGGCCAAGAGGTTTGCACACGTATCCTCAGTCGCATATTCCAATCAGTGGGGCTCAGAAACTGTGTCGCACGACCGAAGCCACTTGTTTCACCAACAAAGCAGCATGACTCACCTGGTGCCTAGAGCACGAGAACTGGACAACAAGGCAAAGAAGAATGTGGGTGCATAAACGGTGACATCAATGTTTATTCAACATAGAAGTATAAACCTTCAACAGAGATACACTCGATCCACACTAAATCAACGTTAAATCAAAGTTATGTGCTACTTGGGTTAGAGGTGGGTCATCCCACCTCAAGTGATGTGAGTACTTGTGCTCGACCGTCTCAGAATTCAATGAACTTTTCAACTTTAACTCTTCAAGGAACAATTGGATACAGCTGATACTTGACAGAGAGGTTCATAAGTCCAACCCTCCGACTTAGCGGATTCTCCAATGAAAATTTCTCTTAAGGAATATGGTGAATGCGAAAAGCGGGTCTCCTGGAGTATTACATCTGTAATCACTAACATCATTTGAAATATTCACATATTAGGTTTGCCTTATTTAAGCAACGTTTTTGTTGGTAAATTTCGGAAAAGGAATATTGCCTTTATTTAAGTCATCAGGAATACAAATGTGGCATTTGATGATCATATGCCACCTAAATATTATTATAAGATGATGACAGCGCGTCCATGAGTTTTTTCATGCCAGAAACTTGCTAGAGCAGCATCCGAGAAGCTGTCACCATAATTCCATTTGACATTGGACTGATATCCAGGGAGGAGTTGAGATTTATTGCCCCTCCCTGCTCGTAAGCGGAGGAAATGGTTCCGTTTCAAAGTAAAGGGGTTTTTCCAGAATCCCCTCAAGATGTCGGATTGCACCATTTATAATCCCAATTAGCAGTGCCCTCCGCCTCCCGGACCCTTTGGCGTTTAGAACTATTGACGTGGAGGGGGGGGGGGGGGGGGGAATGGGGGGGATTTAATCAAGTTTCTATTGTACAAAGTTATTGAATTACTTGGCTATTAATATCTGTGGTTAGTTCTCATTCTCCCAGTGGGAGAATGAGAACGAAATTTACCGGTATGGGAGGAGTGAGAAAAAGAGAGAGGGAGAGGAGAGAAAGTTGAAGTTCTACAGACCTCGTGGCTGCTGTGACCCCGTTTGTATAGTACTTTACTGCTATTTCTACACGGTTTGTGCCGAGGTGACTAAGTGCTGAGTGGGTGGATCTGATTGGGGCCGGGAGGAACAATTAGAAACAGCAAGAAAAGAATCGGAAAGAGGGCGTGCGCACAGTTGTAGCACGAGCAACCCCTACCGATTTCATTTCTTGAGCCGTGATTGTCGTCAATTACGCGACCGTTCCGAAATTGTGCTGCATTCAGGGTGAGAGCATTCTTGTATTTTTTTTGTATGTTTTCCCCGACTGCGTCTCACAGACTGAAGCACCACGAAATTGTGCTGAAGAATTTTCAGTACATTTTTGCAGCCCTAAGATTGCATTAATTTTTTACCTGGATCCCAAATGTAAAAATTAAAATAAACGAAATCTGTGAAAACACCCAGCCAGCTTTGGAATCCTTGCCTAACGGTTATTGATTCCGCATCGACCATTACGGACTTGTACAAGGGAGAACAAATTCGATGCAATATTTTTTCTATTTTTCTTTACGTGGCGGTAGGGCTGACCGTTCGCACTCCGTCAACAAACCACATCCGACGATACCGCACGCTACACTATGAATAAGTAAGAATGATTTGAATGGATTGAATCCAAGGCTAAAACTTAAAAAATAAAAGATCACCATGGTGTTAATATTTCACAACTTTATTGTACTCACTTATCCAGTTTTGACGTCGAAGTCCTTAAAATTCTTGAAAATCATGAACGTATACAGCATTCACAGTGTCATTTGTGACCAGTATCAAGCATCTCCACAAGGGGAATTTGATATTGGCCATGCAGGTACATTTTTTTGGATGGCACCTCCTTTCATTATTGGGGTACCATGCCATACCATAGCGAATATCATATTGGGAAAAGAGGCTACCTCATCGAAAGAGACACGAGGTTTTGAGAAAACATCAATGTCCAATGAGCACTCCGTCCTGTTGATGCAGAAGTATTTCTTTGTGCAGTCCAGTCCAGCCCAGTTCATGAATGAGCCCAGGCATTTTCTTAGAAGTCATTCGAATTTCTTCCTGAACTTCCGGAGATCGAGAAGAAACCTGTCCGTATCATCGACCTAGAAGATCAACGTTTTTAGACAGCAAGGGAGATGACATGAAAAACAACCCCACTTCCAAATAATCCACGCATGTGTTAGGATGAGGCCATTTAGATGGGCGTCGACTAAACACTACCAAATAGACCGACCTTGTCCTCTGAAAGAACTGCATGGAACAGGGAACTCACACAGTGTGCCCTAAGTCAATATACCATTTCAAACTGGAATTGTTTCCAAAATGAAACATGTAGGTCATTATTGCTAGTATTCATGAATAGAACGTTCTTTAGAATATTTTTCACGACAATGACTTGAAATCAGACTCAAGCGGAAATAGCCTCAAATGCATATTAGAAAGATGTCCTTGTTTAAGGACACCTTGTTGAATCGGTATCGGTTTTGAATTCGGTACACCTTATTGAATCCTCTTCTAAAAAATTATTTATCTTCATCTTTTTCCCTCATAATTTCAGATAGACTTGAGAAGCAGAAAAAAAATAATTTAATTTGCTTCCATTGTCATGAGAAAAGGCGTCGCAATTGACGCTGGAGCAACGAAGTAAAGTTGCAACCTGAATGGAGGTCTTTCGGAGTCCCATCAAAGTTCAAAAGGAGTTCCGGCCACTTTTTGGTGCTAAGCCTCGTGCCAAAATATCGATATAGACAGGGGCATTTTGAGGCACTTTCAAAAGTCGGATATACCTCAATTGTTTACTAATATAATTCCGAATGTCATCCTATCTTTCAGCGAATGCTCCTTTTTGCATTAAAATTCTGGTAAATGTGATTTAAAAAAATGGCATAGTGACTTATGGGACACCCTTTTTCTATTTTTCTAGTTCAACGACGGATACATCAAAATCTAAAGTGAACTCACCGTTTTCTCATTATCAGAAATCTCCTGCCTTAGTTTTTCTATTTCTTTTTCCATGTATGAAGTGGAGTAGTCCTCGCTCACCACGTTTCCTTCCCTGCATTCCAAAAACGCCAGTAATTGTTATTGTTACTTTTGGAATTGATTCTGTCTACTAGGGAATTTCGCTATGAAAGCGCTTTCAGCATTTTACCATCAAATAAAACAGGTCTCAGGAAACATAGAATGGAAATTTCATATTCCGCCAAAAACTTACTGCAAACATATCAATGTACCATGCATTTCCTGAATGGTCCTCAATTTTTCCTCACTAACGAAAATTTGGACCTCATATATTCACCTCTGAATGAAACGAAAATATGATTATTGGTACTTCCTGCAGAAGGAGATGCTGGTCAATATTATAATAATTCAAACAAAATCCCATTTTTAGGTACGTGCTCTCGTCATTTTTATTGAGGGCATATGATTCTTGAGATTTTTTAAGAAAGTGGAAATACATAGATTCCCGCAATCTCGTACATCAATCACACTGGTGATACTGAGAGAAAAAAGATTAATTTCGAGATTAAAGCACTGGGAGAGCATTTATAGAGGGAAGCAGATTTTCAGAAACATTCCTGTTTTCATGTAACTGAAATATCTGGAATCTTCAGACTTCATACAAAAATAGAATATGCACGCCCTGAGGGTTTATTTATTGAAGAGACAGGTTTCTTGAAATATTTTCGCTTCAATGAAAGCAGAATATGGAGATATACGAGAAATGTGCACACGTGGTTTCTGAGAAACTTAACAGAGAATACCCTGAATTGAGAGTACATACCCTCCTGCACATTACATGAGGATGACAGATATTTTGTACTAGGTATGGTCGCGCCTTCGGCGCTCCATTACCTTGGATAGTTATTAATTCATTTATTCTTTGCGTAACGGGAAACAAGTATTTAAAGTGCGTCCCCTTTGAAATGCGTGGCAAATGGGGAAGAATGTCTAAGTTTTCTATCAAAATCATTACTTCTATGATTTACAGTGTGCCTAATTTGAAATATTTTCATGTGTCCCTTTTTGTAAGCGTGGAGAATACATTTTGAAATACTTCCTTCCTATAATCTATTCTAAGCGGACATATTTCAAAAGTAGGATTTTTCCTGTACTCAGCCATCAAATAAGTACTTCTGAAGGAATTTAAACTTATCTGTCTCCCTTTAGTTGGCTCCAAAAAATTACGGAAAATGGGACTAACAAAAAAGTGCTCTGATGGGTTTTAACGGAACTTTTATTTTCTTCTGAAATGTAGACTGAAGGAACTACATGCCACCCAGTTTCAGCCTCATACGTTTCCCTTTTTGCTGGCGGTAAAAAAAGTATTTGGAAAAGGGACCCACCCAAAATCTGTGCTCTGAGGGGACGCACAAAAAAAGTTGAAATTTTTGTTAAATCAACATCACTTCCGTCATGCGTGCGCCAGCTGCTACCTTTCTATTTCTGCCCGATTCGCTAGGATATGAAAAATTATTTGAAAACGTAATGTCCCTAAGAAGTATCCCCCCAAAATTCCAATATTTTGGAAATATTACTTTTTTTTTAAGCTCAGTGCGTCAGCAGTCACGTTCTTACCAATTTTCACTTTTCCATGTGTTCCCGTTTGATTGAAGTGAGGTGAACTACTTGAAAATATGTTCCCCGAAAAGGTGTGCCCCTATGGCATGTATCACCAAAGTATAATTTTTCAAAACTCAGCATGCGAATAGCTACTCATGACAGTCCGCTACTCACGATCGTCTATATATAATAAAAGAATACTTTTTTCTTTTCCCAGCTATCCATCAGGTTCTGCTTTTCTAAGTTTAAACTTTCTAGCGCCCTCTGTTTAACTGAATCAGAAAATTAGAGAAAATACGCATTTTGTAAAATGTTTTAAAACATGTAAGGCGCTTTAACCGAAAAGTACCTTTTTTTTTACCTCAGAGAACTACATGCCCACAAAGTATGAACCTCATACGTTTGCCCTTTTCGCTGGCGAAAAAAAACATGTTTTGAAAAGCCAACGAACCAAAAAGCTATGCCTGGAGGGGATGCACCGTGAATGCCGAATATTCCCTCAACCGAATAATATCATGTCATTTATACATGTTCCAAGGTTCACCTTTCCCTTTCTGTCCATTTCGCCATGAAAATATTTTTAAACAATCGCCCCTCGAAAAAATTCCCCCAGGAGACTTAATATTTTTCTTAAACTCCTTGTCTCAGTAGACACATTCATGCAACGTTTCAGCTTTCCACGTCTCTCCGTTTCACTCAAGTAAAAACATTTTTACGAGGGATAATAAGTGACAAGACTTTAGAAGGCATAAGAGGCCGAAAAAAGGCCCAGGAAAGGCCGGGATTTGAACACGGTCCTCCTAATTGCCGGTCAGGTGGGCTACGACTACACCACCAAACCCTGGACATCCAATCAACCCTCTCGATACCATCCTCATCCGTCACAATATATACTTAAAAACTTCTCCTCCCCAAAATGTGTACCCCCAGGGAATGTACCTCTAAAGACGGATTTTTTTTTTAATTTCGCATCCCAAATGGTACATGTGTGCCAAGTTTCAGATTTCTAACTTCTGTAGAATATGGTTAGAATTAGCGTCAGTCAGTCACGATCGTCTATGTATATTACATACTAGCGAGTTTTTTTTGCCCTCCGGGCAAATAAATTCGCTATAGTCGCGCCTTCGGCGCTCCATTGCCTTGGAATTTTTCCTGAACTCAGCATGTGAATAGTTACTTATGTCAGTCAGTCAGCTATTCACGATCATCTGTATATATAATATGAAAGTAGAATTGTTTCTTTACTCAGCTATTCATCAGGTACTTATTTGCCAAGTTTAAACTTTCTACCACCCTCCGTTTTGCTGGATCAGAAAATTCAGGAAAATTTGCAAAATATTTGACCTCGGCGTTTTAAACGAAAAGGACTATTTCTTACGAAATCAAACCTCAGTGAACTACATGCCCACCAAGTGTTAATCTTATACGTTTGCCCTTTTCGCTGGTGAAAAATTATGTTTGGAAAGCCGACCTACCCAAAAGCTATGCCCGGAGGGGATGGACCATCAAAGCTGAATACTTAAACTCAATAATATCATGTCACTTATACGTTTGCCAAGTTTCACCTTTCCATTTATGTCCAATTCACCATGACAATTTCGTTTTTTTTAAACATCGCCCCTCGAGAAATTTTCCCCCCGTGGATGTATTAAGACTTAAAATTTTTCTTTAAATCCCTATCTTGGTAGTCACATTCCTGCAAAGTTTCAGCTTTCCATGTCCATCGGTTTAACTAATGCAATAAAATTATATGGAAACATCTCCCTTTGAAATGTATGCCCCCAGGGCATTTCATTCCAATGTCTGACTTTTTCTGCACGCAGTATCCCAGTAGGTAATTATGTACCAAGTTTCACATTTCCACACTAGCTCAATACTCCAGGACAAAAAAATACTTGAAAACATCGGCTTCCAAAAATATGCCCCAAGGCATGGATCTAAAATTTTGCATTTTTCCTGAACTCATCGTGTCGGTAGGCACGTTCTTGCAACGTTTCAGCTTTCCATGTCTCTCCGTTTTATTCAAACAACGGGACATGGAAGGCAAGAGAAGCCAAAAAAGAGGAATGGAAAATACCAGGAATTGAACACTGGCCTCACAATTACCGATCAAATGCGCTACCACTGCACCACCGAAACAGTGACATGCAGTGGCCCCTTTCGATGACATCCTTATCCATCACGATATATATTTTTAAAAAACTTCTACCCCCAAAATGTGTACCCCCAGGGCATGTACCTCCAAAGTNATTTCTGTTATCCTTCTCATTACTTGAAGGAAAAAATTTATTTAGGCAAGTAACTTTTTCCGTAAATATATATTGTGACATATGAGGATGGCATTCAGAGAATCAACTGGATGTGTTGGGTTCGGTGACGTAGTAGTAGCATATCTGTCTGGCAATCAGAAGGTCCGGGTTCAACTCCCGGCCATTCCTTGGCTTTCGTTTGGGTTTTTTGCCTTCCAAGTCCTGTTACTCATTCCCCTTCCATAATATTATTTTTGCTTGAGTAAAAATGAGAGACATGGAAAGCTGAAACTTGGCATGGACGTGCCTACCGAGACGATGAGTTCAGGAAAAATGGAACATTTTAGATCCATGCCCTAGGGGCATATTCTTGTGAGCCGACGTTTTCAAGTATTTTTTTGGCCCTGGCGTATTTTTGTGCTGGTGTGGAAAGATGAAACTTGGTACATAACTACCTATTGGGATGCTGCAGAAAACTTCAGACTTTTGGAAGTAAATGCCCTCGAGGCACACATTTCAAAGGGAGATGTTTTCAACTAATTTTTTTGCATAAGTTACACTGATGAACATGGAAAGCTGAAACTGCATGAATGTGACTACTGAGACAAGGAGTTGAATAAAAATGTTAAGTCTCGATACATCCCCTGGGGGAATTTTTTCGAGGTGTGATGTCTTGAAAAAAAATTTTTGTTGGGGCGAATTGGACAGAAATGGAAAAGTGAAACTTGGCACATGTATAAGTGACATGATCTTACTGAGCTGAGGGAGTATTCAAGTTTCATGGTCCATCCCCTCCGGGCATAGCGTTAGGGTGTGTCGGTTTTTCCAAACATGTTTTTTCACCAGCGAAAGGGGCAAAAAAATACTTGAAAACGTCGGCTCACAAGAATATGCCCCTAGGGCATGGATCTAAAATGTTCCATTTTTCCTGAACTCATCGTCTCGGTAGGCACGTCCATGCCAAGTTTCAGCTTTCCATGTCTCTCATTTTTACTCAAGCAAAAATAATATTATGGAAGGGGAATGAGTAACAGGACTTGGAAGGCAAAAAACCCAAACGAAAGCCAAGGAATGGCCGGGAGTTGAACCCGGACCTTCTGATTGCCAGACAGATATGCTACTACTACGTCACCGAACCCAACACATCCAGTTGATTCTCTGAATGCCATCCTCATATGTCACAATATATATTTACGGAAAAAGTTACTTGCCTAAATAAATTTTTTCCTTCAAGTAATGAGAAGGATAACAGAAATGGGAAAATTTAGAAATGTTGTTACCCCATCTATTGGCACTGATTTAAGTTGAGATATTCATCTTTCAGTTTTCCCTCAATTTTGTCAATTGTTTTGAAAGAGGTTTTCTAACAAATCATTTTCGATTCCCTTATTTCAGCATACGTATTGGAAGAAGGAATGGGAAGAGTATTTTTTCACTTTACGGAACAGAGATAAATGCAATACATGCATTGACGCAAACATTTCTAAAGAACTTCGCTGTTCAGATGCAGATTGCATGAAATCGAGGTTTCCATATACTGGACATCCCCTGGGCCATATTTTATGGAGGGGTAATATTTGCAACGAATTCCTTATTACAGAGAAGAAACACCAAAATATGAAGCTTCATATTCATTCGCAATTAATATATGAATTTGAAAAAATTTCCTGATCCTGTAGTTACATATCCTTTTACTTCGTTACCACTAGAGGCCTACTTTTAATTAGAGTAGTTTTGGTGGGAAACCTTTAGGTTAAGCTAGACGGTAGATATAGAAACGTACGAGTAAATTTCCCCTTTCTGCTCTCAGAGTTAATGGTAATTTTCAGGCAAATCCTTCAAGGCATCTCTCTTCACCTTCAAAGAAATGTTTTGTTTAAGGGAATCGGACATCCACATTAAGCTAAAACGTCGAAAATATGTAGCTGTACTGTTGTTGAGTTCAGGAACAATTGTTACTTTCACTTTTATATCCTTCTGAATAAGTTCATGAATAAAAATGATTATGTTATGACATTTTCTAAGACATTTATAATATGAATGCCATGGAATAAATGAATTATGGTACATTCATCGAGTATTACAGCTTTACATGAATTTTTAAATGTGATATAAGGCCCTTACAGATAAAAGTATTAAAGCTAAAACAGGCTAAAATGAAAAGAGAGAAATCCATTTTTCAGCACTTATGCGTCCTTCCATAGTTATTTAATTATTGTGGGCATTAAAAAGAAAACAAATAAATTTGTATGAATTCAGGAATGGTATTAATCACAGGAGGAGCTCTTGTAATTTACTGAGATGACACCTACGAAAAATAATTTTGCACTATTTCATTAATCGGATAGGAATTGGTATGCACTTCCGTTGATAGGATTCACTCTTGATCAAGATCTTTCAACATAGATAATTCATGTGACACTTCGGGGAACTCATCACAAAGTACAACGCCATATTCAGCAATACACCAACAGCAACAATCATAGTACAAAAATTAGCCAGTTTGCTGCAGTTAAAAATATTGATAGCAAGGGGTCTGACTAGTGCCCCATATAACGGTAAGATAACGAGCGAGCTCTTACTAGCTATGGAACGACGAATGAAGCTTAGGATCCTGTTGTACGTCGCTAGTGCGCGCGAGGAAAATTTGAGTTCCTCATCGATTGCAATACCTAGATCCCTCTCTCCGTTTGCCTCCTCTAGTTTATCAGCGCATTAGTTTAGAACTCATTTAGAGACCTATAGTTATCGCGACCAATGTAGTGCGCCTTACACATACTTTTATTAAACTTCATGAACCATTTCCTGCTCCACTCGTTCAAAAGTCTTAAGTCTCCCTCGGTTCTCTCCCTTTATAGGAAAACACATTTTGGTTTTTTGCAAATTTACTGATCTTACCCGGAAGTCCTTGATCTAAGTCATTAATGTAAACCAGGAAAAATAAGCGGCCCCAGAACTGAACCCAGAGAGGCACCGCTCACAATTTCGAACTTTGTCGACAGTTCTCCTTTTACCATTACTCTCTGGTCTCTACCCAACAGTCAGTTACTGATCCGCTCACACGTTCTTCCTTGGATCCCGTGCTCTTCTAATTTCACTCACAGTCTCCTATGCGAAAAGGAATCAAAGGCCTTCGCGAAAACTAAGTTGACGACAACTCAGGAGTTTCACCGGGGATTTTCAGAGATGAATCCAATCCCCCAGCACCTCATGAAAAGAGTTCGTTGCGAAGAAGTGCAATGCGATTAGAACTTGTAAAATGGTATGCACATCCATTTTTCGCCGCGCTTGGCGATGGCATGAAGTCAGGAGCAGGGTAATTTCGTAGACTGCATCCTTCAGGAATTGAAATCGAATTTTGAATGCAACAACGTCCTGAGTGCGCATTGGATCACAACGATCTAATCGACTTCCAGGCAGACTGTAATGGTCATCAGCTCTCATACGACGGTTAATGTGAATATTGCAGTCGTCTCAGCATAGATAGGGTTGCCGTCAGGCAGATGGGGTGCAGTCTCTTACCCCCTTGTATCAATAGTTTACTGGTAAACAATTTTACTATCATGCATATTTCCTGAACCGTCGTTGTCAAATATTTATCAAAACTCCTTGTAGGTGTGAAGCACTGCCAACAGATGACAGGACAGTACATATTCCTAAACATTGCTGGTATGACGTGTAGCGCTTGAAGTGGTAAAATTTTATACCAATTTGTTCAGTCCAATTTTTTTTTAAGTTATCAACTTTTTCACCTATAAAGGGTTAAGAAAAAGAAGGGATTATCCGTCTGAATTTCATGGATCAATGCACCACAATCAATTTCCAGTGTTACATTCAGTCCCTCAAAATGGTGAATAGTATCATAAAGAGTAAACGATCAAACTTTTACAAATCTCAAAGGCTCCAGCATTATAATGTTACCCTATTGGTATGACATGCTGATTATCTCATGCTGTCGCCTCTTACTGTTCGATTATCCTGCCCCACCCTTCTTATTGTTTCGACGTTAATCCTCAGACTTTAATTATTTGGTGTCCTCTAAGGATGGCCTCAGGGGAATATCAATGCAAAAAAGTGCGTTTTACAGCGACGGAATTGAAGCCTTCAAAAATACCGGAGGTGACATAAACGTGAAGGTGATTGGGAGGAAAAATATGGAAGTTTTCTGGCATGGTTGGGAAATTCTTGTGTTTTTCCTACCCATATATACAATACCTTTCGGGAAAATAACTGCTCATTACTATTTGACAGATCTTCGTATATATTCCACTCAGATGTACCTGGAACGTATTAAGAAAGTTTCATGAATTACCTGTTGCTCCAGGGTTGTCCAGACCCATGGTTTCATCACTAAGCTCGCTGCATCTAATATATACGAAGATCTGTCAAATAGTAATGAGCAGTTATTTTCCCGAAAGGTATTGTATATATGGGTAGGAAAAACACAAGAATTTCCCAACCATGCCAGAAAACTTCCATATTTTTCCTCCCAATCACCTTCACGTTTATGTCACCTCCGGTATTTTTGAAGGCTTCAATTCCGTCGCTGTAAAACGCACTTTTTTGCATTGATATTCCCCTGAGGCCATCCTTAGAGGACACCAAATAATTAAAGTCTGAGGATTAACGTCGAAACAATAAGAAGGGTGGGGCAGGATAATCGAACAGTAAGAGGCGACAGCATGAGATAATCAGCATGTCATACCAATAGGGTAACATTATAATGCTGGAGCCTTTGAGATTTGTAAAAGTTTGATCGTTTACTCTTTATGATACTATTCACCATTTTGAGGGACTGAATGTAACACTGGAAATTGATTGTGGTGCATTGATCCATGAAATTCAGACGGATAATCCCTTCTTTTTCTTAACCCTTTATAGGTGAAAAAGTTGATAACTTAAA